GTAGTAAAGTATAAAATAAAGTATTATTCTCCCAAGTGAGCTTTACCAGCATTTATGAGTCTACAGATAGTGTTTGTTTTTCTCTCATCATTTCCCAGTGTGTCAATTGTTAAAATAAACGACTGCTTTTGATTTGTAGATGTAACTTTACGGTTTAGGAGCCTGTATCTAAAATAACGAATTAACCACTACAAAACGCTGAAATGAAAACAGACCAGTGTGTAACTTGGACTCGGCAGTCACCAGCTGCACCTCGTCTTGCTAATCTTTAGGCTTTCTTTTTTTTTTTTTTTGAGCTGAGGCTTTTAAGAGTTAAGTTACACAACTCTCTTTTTATTTTTAAAGTGAGTGGATTCCTTGTTGCGTTGTTGAGAATGATAAATTGATACCACATGTTGCTTGCAGACAAAAAGGACTCTGTATTCCAGTGGAAGCACTTGCAGCTGGTGTCTGCGTTAATGGACGGGCTCCACAAGGTAAACATGGTTTGGAAGAGTCGCACACAGACACAGGCGCGCCGGGGTGGGGGAACTCGCTCCTTTTTTCAAGGCGAAAGGATTTGCTGGTTTTGCCTGGCCACGGCCGAGTGTTGAAGTAACTCGCAGTCCTAAAGCCCTTTCTGGGAAGCTCGTTTAGTTGTTCATACCCAATCGGGTGTATAGCACTTTGGAAATGTTTGTTAGTGCATCCGTTTGGCATCTTACCAAAATATCACGAGTGACATGTAATTAGGACATACTGAGTTTTTTTTTTTTTCCTTTTTTTCACGAGCAAATTGTGGCTGCTTCAAGAAGCAGTGACTGAACAAAATTTTGTGCAGTGGATAAACATTTACCTCTTTGAAGTTCAAAATGTGGCTCTGGGTTTTAGGAAAGTAGTGTCACCCATCTGATATGTTGCCCATCTAACTAAGACGGGGCACTCAGCTGCTGATTTCCTGCTAGTGAATGGCTCTGCGTGCTGGCCGGCCACCTCCTCCCCTGCAGCCTGCTGTCCTTTGCTCGTACAGGTCTGTATGAAAAGCTAAAGGTTGCGAGAGGTGTTGCCAAAAGAAGTGCCTAGTGAAGGGAGCTCATCCCTTGCCCTTGGAGGTGTCTTTGCGAAGCCTTTGGGCAGTAACCTTAGGGAAGCTTGCAGTCAGGTAAAGCAATGTTGTTTTCCTGTACCACTCTACCGTCCTCCCCTCTAATCACATCTGCCCTGTCTTTTGTGTTCCTCTTGTGGTGGGTCTTTCTTATCTTTAGTGCCATTTTTTTTTCCTGCAGGACCACTTAAAAACTTTGTCGAGAGACTGGGACCCGGCTGGGCTAGGCACAATGCTGTACTGTGTCCTCTTGATCTTATCTGCAGGAACCTCGGTCTTCTGTCTGTGAGCAAAGTACATAGCATACTTCAAGTCTGGTATAAATAGTAACACTAATAAAGGGAGGAGCTCATCATATTTCTTTTCTGCTCTGCTCTTGTGCAGTCCTTATGCCGAACCCACCAGTGGTATCTGAGCTCTTTCCAAGGTGTCTGCCGTCTGGCCAGCATCTGTCCCGTGTACATATGTTCTCCAGGGCAGATCGACGAGAGTTCCTTTAAAGATCTTTTAAGGTTTCTCGTCGTATTTTGGCATGGAAAAATGTGTTACGTTTCCATCGTAATGGCCTCATCCCTCTCCCGAATTAAGTCAAAGGCAAAATTCCTCTTGATTTGAATGGTGGTGGGTTTGAATCATAAACTGTATTTTCTGGGGCTTCCCCTCCTCCTTTGTGGTTTGTCACGTGGTCATATATCACTTAGGCACGTGCTCGTGAGCAAACATTGCCCCAGAATCTTTCCTTGTATTTTAAGCAGACGTGAACTTTCATAGACAGTTTAGAAACCAGGTGCAAAACAGGCTTATTTCCACCAAGATCGCAGCCTGGCAGCTCAGCGCTCCGCCTTGACTGTGAGCTGTCAACCCCAGTGCCTTCTGTAGCAACACTCACATGTGAAGGGATAACAGGATCCAGCCCTAATTTGATTTGGCAGAGCTTCCAACATGAGGAGGAACCAAGAAACTCAGATGCTGTTGCTGAAGAGTTTAGTGAGGGAGGTTACGTGAAAGAAGTGGGTTTTAAGGCAGTGTTTGAACAGAGGGTGGAGATGGGGTACACAGAAATAAATTGCTCCATAATTATACCTAAGAAAACAATCTTCCTACAAAAGAAAAATAAAGAAAAAACGAGCTGGAGCATAAATGGCATATTGCGTAATGTAAAGGCAAACAAACTGCTTGGATTTTTTCATAACTACCAATTTTCAATGCAAAAGTATTATTACATTCTTTTATTACTTGTGTATTACCAACACTGAGTGAAAAGATACTATAATAGAAAATTATACATGTGCACACACATATCCACACATGTAAGAGCCCTCATCCCTGAAAGGTGCTTCAATCCCATAATTTTACTAATAGACTGTTTTGGATTTTTTGTGGTTTTAGACCAGATAGTTTCATGCTATGCTTACTGCCAGCAGAAATAAGCCATTTTATGAGAATACCATGGGTTGAAAACTGTTAGCTGATGGCACTCTGCTGTTCGTTTTCATGTTTGAAGCTACATAGCGTGTTGTGTAGGCCACCTTTGGTATTTCTTTTCTGGGTTTTCTAAGATTGTTTTCAGTGAAAAGAGTCAGTGTTCTGTTTGTTCTTTATATCTAGCATTGTTAGCTCTTGTTCAGCGTGGTTTGTAGGACTCTTGTAGCCCGGTTTGGCATGGCGTTTTAGCTCTGTTGATCCTGTCACTGCATCTTTGTGAAGAGAGATCCCCATGCAAATATTCTTGCGTGCAGTTGTCCATTGCGGTCCGAGAGGATGAATGTGAGAACTACCTGCACTGATGCAGTGCAAGCTGGAATCTCAGCAAAGGTTGTTTTTCAAGAAGTCAACAGTGCCCAGCCAGCTGGAAGAAACCTGAGGAAGTAAGCAGTGGCATCTAGTTAGTAGAGGCTAGAAACAGAGTTTTGCCAGACTCAAAATACAGTTAAAAATATCATCAGTTAAAAAATAAAAAGCTCTTTGCCTCCTAGACTGAGGAACTATTATGCTGCAACTCAATTCAACATATTTTAATGGCATTATAGCGCCTTACAAATAGACAACTTTATAGCTGAAATACGGACCCAAACTTATCTTGAGTATGTCTGTAAAGTCTGGTCGGCTCTGCTGTGCAAATTGCTTAAAACGTAACAGTTGCTGTTTTGAACCGTAGTCAATAGAATTTCTCTTTTCATTAAGTGATAATCACAAATGTGTCTGCTATCTGCGTGCGAGAGGAATTTTAGGCATGTTTTTCATTTCAGAATCCGATAAAAACCACAACACTTAGAGGGGAAAAGGCATTTTATACTGAAAAGAATTATTTTATAAAAGCTGGGCTGTATTTCTTTATACATCCAGTGTGTCTTCAGTTCACGTATATCAAACGTCCCTTTATCCTAACGATGGAAATGTCAAGATGCTTGTGAATGATTTGTTGATTGATATATTCTTTGTTCATTTAAATCTGGAAATCCTTCAGTGCCTTGATTATGCTATGATCCCTTTGAAGCTGTATTTTTAAGACATGCTGATAGAACACATGTATTTTTATCCTTTTTATAGATATAGCTGATGTTTGCCCATTAAAAAAAATTCATGCAACTGTTTAAACTTGTTCATCTTTAACATGCAGGAATAGTGCAACTGTTTTGTCAAGAGAATATGGCTCCAAAAATCTTTGACTTGCATATGGGGGAAAGAAAAAAGAAAAAAAGGTTGGAAGCATTCTCAGTAGCAAGCACCACTTATTGGTCCTTTTTTGAGCTGTATGTTAAGCCGAAGATCAGTAGGATGAGTAGAGTTAGGTTTTTGATCTCAGTTATTCCGGCATAAACCTGAAGACCTTTCACTAGAGCTACTGTGGGTTGGTTTCCTCTGCCTTCCTTCTTGTTCTGGGGTAATTTTGATTGGTTTGTGCTGCTGTGGTTTTCGGCGCGTGGATGTTCCTGACTAGCGTGAGCAGGTAACGTGCAAGAGTGGACTGTGCAGCAGCCCCTCTTGAAAGCGCTGTATTTTATAGCCTCTGCTAGAGTGTGGGGTCTACGACCACGTACAACTTTATACAACTCTGTATCTGGCAGTGTGCAGGGACAGAGGTGTTGCTGTGCACTGTGTCATGTCATGTTTTAAAGACTGTGAGGATACTGTATCGGGGGGGCAGCTGGCCAGCTGCTGTGGTTCAAGCGTAATTCTGGCGTCTCTGATCAGGAGAGAAAGTAGAGCTTCCTCGGGTGCTGTGTGCCTCTCGGAGAGGGCGACAGCAGGTGTAGCTTTCTCAAGAGCTGTTATAATAACTACACAAACGCACATGCCAGCGAAGAATAAAAAAGATGTTTGCAGAGGCTGCAGTGGGGATGGCCACCCTTGCAGTCAGTTTTTGGCAGTGTTTTTGCAGTTCCTGTTTGAAGGAGCACGTGGCAAGATTGGCAACAGTATAGAGCTTTGTCTTGAGTTGAAAGTAAAGGAGAAACGCAGCTCCCTCGAGTCTATTGCTGTTGAATGATTTGAGGGCATGGGTAGAGGTCTCGGGTTCTACCCTCATCCCAGCAGAGGAACGGTTAGGAAAGAGGAGTTGGACATCTTGCATCCTCATGCTGATACTGCTAGCTTGTCTAGCTCCTTGCTACCAGGGACGGAGCTGTGTCGCACTCCTTTTGCTTGGATGCAAATTTTGGGGTATGAAGATGGGCACCAAGAGAGCACAGCTAGTGCAAGTGCAGGGCCTGCTTTGCAGCAGCCTGCAGGCAGTCTGCAGTCACGTGCCAGCCCTCCTGTGTCCCCCACCCAAGGAACCCCTGGTGATATCCACACGGCCCAATGTTTTTATTCATGTTGGTGTTTTCATGTAATGTTGATTGTGTGACTGAGATTTGGGCAGCGAAAGAAGTAGTGCTGGTCTTGACCTTTTTGTTTTATTCCTTTCCTGCAGAATTCAATCCGGCACAACTTGTCACTTCACAGCCGATTCATCAGGGTGCAGAACGAAGGCACTGGGAAAAGCTCTTGGTGGATGATCAATCCAGATGGTGGAAAAGGTGGGAAGGCACCGCGAAGACGTGCTGTGTCAATGGACAATAGCAACAAGTACACGAAGAGCAGAGGGCGGGCAGCTAAGAAAAAGGCAGCTCTGCAAACTGCCCAAGAGGCAAGTGAGGACAGCCCTTCTCAGCTCTCCAAGTGGCCCGGGAGTCCAACTTCTCGCAGCAGCGATGAGCTGGATGCATGGACAGATTTCCGCTCCCGTACAAATTCAAACGCCAGTACGATAAGTGGCCGCTTGTCACCAATTTTGGCAAGCACCGAACTAGATGACGTTCAAGATGATGACGCTCCACTTTCTCCCATGCTGTACAGTAGTCCATCGAGCTTGTCCCCATCAGTAAACAAACCATGTACTGTGGAGTTACCTAGGTTGACTGATATGGCTGGGACAATGAATTTGAATGACGGACTGGCAGACAACCTCATGGATGATCTCTTGGACAACATAACACTCCCTTCCTCCCAGCAGTCACCCACAGGAGGGATAATGCAGAGAAGCTCCAGTTTTCCATATGGTTCCAAAGGTTCAGGGCTGGGTTCTCCGTCAAGTAGTTTCAATAACGCCGTATTCGGGCCGTCGTCCCTGAACTCCCTTCGCCAGTCGCCCATGCAAACCATTCAAGAGAACAAGCAGGCCACCTTCTCTTCCATTTCTCATTATAACAACCAGACGCTGCAGGATCTGCTCGCCTCTGATGCACTTAGTCACAGCGATGTCATGATGACACAGTCTGACCCGCTCATGTCGCAAGCCAGCACAGCTGTGTCCGCCCAGAATTCCCGCAGGAATATCATGCTCCGCAATGACCCCATGATGTCGTTTGCTGCGCAGTCCAACCAGGGCGGTCTGGTCAATCAGAGCCTGCCCCATCACCAGCACCAGTCTCACAATTCCTCTCTTAGTGGCAGCCGTGCCTTGTCGAATTCCATCAGTAACATAGGCTTAAATGACTCAAACAGCTTGGGATCCACCAAACATCAGCAGTCACCTGTCAATCAGTCTATGCAAACACTTTCTGACCCACTCTCAGGCTCCTCTTTGTATTCCTCTAGCGTGAACCTCCCGGTCATGGGACATGAGAAATTCCCAAGTGACTTGGACCTGGATATTTTCAATGGGAGCTTGGAGTGTGACATGGAGTCCATTATCCGCAGTGAACTCATGGATGCAGATGGGTTGGATTTTAACTTTGATTCCCTCATCTCAGCCCAGAACGTTGTCAGTCTGAATGTGGGGAACTTCACTGGTGCTAAACAGGCTTCATCACAGAGTTGGGTACCAGGCTGAAGGATCTTTGAGAACAGGGGAAATGGGCAAACAGGTCAGTGCCCTGTAGATGTGGTAAAATACTTGGTTCCTTAGTTTTTTTGGAGTTTGCACCAAACACTTAATAGTGCACACTAATAATATCAATTTGGCTTGTGACGGCTTGCTATGTTTTGGTATGCAGCAGGCACAACCAAGACAAATTTGGAGGTGTGAAGGGAAACGAGGCTAAGCTATAAAAGTTACTCAGCTGCAACACTGTCAGCACGCATCTGATGCTATGCGTCCTGCTTAATTTAGGCATAAGAAATGTTAATGCCAAATCAAGCAAACCAAGGTGGAATGTTTGTGGGTTTCAGGAATCGCAGAGCTCCAACGTTTCTTCTTTGAAGTCGCAACAGATGGATTCTTCTCAGCAGCCAAGGCCTCATGTAGTCAAGCTGTGTTATACTGGGATAGGGCAAGAGACTTTGCAGTCGGTGGGGCAATATTACTGCAAAGGAAGGGAGAGAAGTGTCTTTGCAAGATCCACACGCACACACTGAAGATCTGGGATGTGGGACAGATCAGGACTGAATTAGAGTTGTACTTCTTGCGGTGGTGCAGTAACCCTAGTGAAATTGTTGATTTTTATTTTTAAATTTATTTCTCAGGGCAATAAAAAATAGCAGCCAGAGGAATTATATTTTGAAATAGCAAAGGTAGGATCCTAGACTCAGGAACATCTTGATTTTAATGCTTTAAATATATAAAATTGGTTGGGCACCCCAAGACCTGGGTAGGTGTCATTTTCTTTTGGATTCCACCAAGAGTTGGATTGGGTTGTGACATAGGTCCTGTTTGAATGTTAGCCTCAAATGGCAGTTGATTCAGATTAACTTTTTCAGGTTACTATGGAGGTTTTTCTCAGAGCTTCTTTTCCGTAACTCTGGGAACATTTGAACCTGTAAGCATTGTTTCTGTCATCCTTTGTGATTCTGCAGGCTTCTGCCCATAGCTCTGCCTACTGGCACGTACATATTCACTGACTCACGGAGCAGGTTCCACACAAAGTGCCCTTTCTCCTTTGTTTATTTATTAGCATAAAGGAGTAGATTTCAAAATATTATAGGATAAAAGGTTAGCCATAAATTATTGAAAGTATTCTATTAACTTCAGAATAGTATGTAGAGTATCCCAACAGTGAGGTTGAAAGAGGCATTCATGCAGTCTGCAGCTTACTTCCAACTTTCATTTTTTCTGGGGAAAGGATGGAAAGAAGGAGTCAGTGTCTTTTGACTTTAGGGTGCATAATTTGCTCGTGAATGGCCCTTTCATCTTTAATTGAGTTTTCATTCTGTTTCACAGTTTGATGTTTGAGGGGAAGCTTTGCGGTAGGTAAACAGCAGTGGTGAACCTCCTGAATGTCTTCCTGTGTGTCTAGAGGACCATGGATCAGACATATGCTGATCTGCTGTATTTAAGGGAAAACAAGACTGAACAAGAGTGCTTCATTTAGTCAGTGTGCAAAGCTTTCTTGCTATTGGACCAATTAGTTTGCACAGTACTTTGGCTTTTCTAAGGGAGAGGAGTTCCTCTGCTTCTTTTGCATTTTAGCTCTAACTGCAGGAGTGTTGCAGTGCAAGGCCACGAGGTGGTCTGCAGAGGAGCTGTGCTGTAGAGGGTGCAGCTTGGACAGTCCTAGCAATGTCCCGCTGACCGTGTGTGTGGTAGCACCTTGGAAAGGTGAGGGTGTCAAGTGAATGGCTACAGACGTTCACAGGTTTCTGGTTTCTTTCAGTTCCAGGCCTTCATTAATTTAAGAAAGGGAAGGAAAAATAGAGGGAAAAAAAAAGTGATTTGAGAGCCAGGAAGCAAAAATTTGCAGAAGGCCATGCTTGTTGATCTGTTCTCTCTTCCTCCAGGTGCACGAGCAGTTTGGATGTAGAAACCCTCTTTTTGCATGAGTTTTTTTTTTTTTTTTAAACTGTGAAACATCCAGCAGTACAATTTGCCAAAAGCAGCTTAAAAAATAGATATTATTGGCAATCTTGCTTGACGCGTTCCTAATAGGAAAAGAGCACAGCCTCCTCTTTCAGCATCATCATTTCCTGTGTATAGGTAAAAGGTGCGTGGAGGGAGATTTGCCCAGGCAGTGTGAAGGGAGCACACCGTGTGGGTTCCTCCCAAAACGCTCTCAGCTGCCCCTTAACCCCGGGCCGTTGCATTCACAACAAGTGTAGCTGCCTTCACCTTTTTCTGCCCTCAGAGGAAAGGAACTGACACATCTGTGTGAAGGATTCGCATATCGGAGGACAGATTTATTAAGCAGAGAGTCCTCCGTGGCGGATTACTGTCCAGTCATCTGTGGAAGCCTCTTTCTCTCTCTCTGACAAATGGACCGGCTGCTCCTGGGTGCCTCTGGTATCAGGTGCAAGCGGAGATGATTTCTGCTGAGCTTGTTCATAATGCACGGTTCCTTGTCTGTTAATTAATGCTGTCTGAGAGTTTGCTTCCATGTGAGTGTCTCTTACTTTGACAGGGTCTCGCATGAAATAGGATGTAATCACTCTGAATCTTTTCCGCAGTTATTTCTTCGCTTTGCTGTTGCAATAGGGACCCCTGAATTAAAATCTTCTCTGAGCAGTTTTGATGAGCTCAGTGAAGAATCTTTGCATAAGGAATCGCATCCAGCAGAACAGTCCTGCCCTTGCCGACGTTAAATCCGTTTCAGAAAGGCGGCTGGCAAACTAAAGCAGTTAAAATAGGTTATTGGCATACCTAGCCATAGGGAATGCTGTGTTTTCTATGAAGAAATAGGAAAGAAATTTGGGTGAGTTTGAAAAGAAAAGTTAGTTAGAAAAGAAAGGAGCAAATAAACAGTTATTTAGCTTGTACATACCCCAGGTATAGATGGGTATTTACTTAGGAAAAAAATCAATTACACTTTCTTTACAGGGGAGGTAAAACATGTGCGAAAGACTCCAGCGTTACTAGTTTAGTGCCGGTGCACGTTTATTGGAGGGAGCGTTCCCCGGTTGCACTGCCCTGGCTTGGCACCCGTGAGGTTTGCCATGCGCAGCCTTTCAGAGGGCCCCAGTTGAGGCATGGAACCGGATTTGTTTTGTCTTGTTTTGTTTTTTCCGCTACGAGAAGGAAAGGAGAAAATCAATATGCTTTTTTTCTTACTTTATTTTCTGAGCCATAATCTTCCCTTCTCAGGCTGGTTGAGGCCTCTGTCCCTCTCTCTCTCTCTCTCTGCTTCCCAAGAGTACTGAATATACCCTCCACCCACTGCAGTAATCATCAGGCCGTTTTTTCAGCCCATTTATCAATAAATAAAGATGTCAGTATTTCCTAGCCTTTCTCTAGAATACCTTTTATTTTTAAATTAATGTGTCCTCCCTTAGTCTGGTATTCCCACCACTCTCCTCTTTACTCTGTGGTCCTTCTCAGGCTGTGAATCCTAAGGGACTTGGCATTCGCCAAAGAATAGCCCTAAACAAACTGACAGGGGAGACTATTTGGGAGATTTATGGCTGCCTGGAATGTCATGAGCTGGTGATCAACCACCGGTTAGACAAACATTTCCCCTGGCATCAAAGCCAGCGTAAGAAGTTGTTTTTGCCTCAATTGTTTCAGTGATCCAGTTCATAACAGAGCTCCCCAGACGGCTCCGATGGCAGAGTTTGGGAAAGGGGGTGGCAGAGTTGCAAGTAGGGCAGGAACGTCTTTGCTGCCTTTGCTGTTGGAAAACCTCCTCATATAACTGCATCTTTTGAGAGAGATTTTAACGTGCCATTTAGCTGGATCCCTCCGGGCTCTGTAGCAGAGTTGTACTAAAGTCAAGTTGACTTGCTTGAAAATTGAAAGTAAAATACTTCACAGATCAGTTAGTCATTCATTTTATTCTAGCATCATTGAAGTCCGAAGTCATCTTCCTGCAGCAGGAGGGTGCACAAACTACTAGTAGTAGCAGAGTATCATTTCACGCAATATGATAGCTAACCTCTCCGATAAAGAAAAATCCTGTGAAACGTAGTGAAATGCCTGTTTATATTTCAGTCGTCCATACCTGTTGGCACTACTTGCTGATTTGTTAATTAACTGTTTCTGGGTGAAATTCATGCCAAAGACTAACATATAGATCTGTGGATCACTTAGTATTCACTAAAACACCCTCTTAAAGTTCCAGTAGATCATAAAAAGATCTCAATTTGGATAGAGTTTGTCCCCTTTGAATCGGAGAGCTCTGGCTAGACAATGTTCCATGAGGACAATGGTTTTTCTGTTTTTCATTTTTTCCAGAAAGCTTATTTTCTGCTCATTGAAGGTGAAATGCAGAAACCAGAACGTGAGAACCTGTTGCCTAAGGATCCTGATTGCCTCAGGACCAAGCGGCCTTCCCTTCTCTGTTGGTTTCAAAAATGAGGTTTTTAGGAGTAGGGCTAGCAGGTTTCATATGTGGAGCCAAGGTGGGGCTACATGTAAAAATCTCAAGGAAATTCAGGGGAACAAAATGCTTCTGCTTCAATTCAAATAGGTTAGTGGTTAAGGTGGTGGCGCACTTTTAACATTGAAGTGTTGTTTCGGCCAGCCCAAGCTTTGAAAGGTGGTTTTGTGACCAGCTGCACATCAAACTCGCCAAGTTTAGTCTTCGAATGAAAATAACAGAGTGGAAAACTCCGTGTTTCGCTGGGAACAGGGATTCCAGTAACTCCAAGGAGAGGAGAGCCCAGGGCCAGCTCCTCGCTTGCTGGGCGCACACCAGCAGTGTGCTAGCTGCGCAGGAGCTAGCGCCTGGAGGAGCTGCCGGGCTTGATCTGAGCATGTCGCCTCCGGGGAGGAAGAGATCCGGGGAGGATCCTGGGCAACCAGGCAGATCGTCCTTGCCAGGGCTGCCCCCCATCGGCATTGCGTTTGCGGCATTTCCCTGCAAAAAAGAGCCCCGGGCGCAAGCGGTAAACGTGGCTGGAGCGCCTTCTGCACTGTCACGAGCAGTCTGCGATTTGGCTCCAGACGCTCACAAGAGCCATTGCAGCCACTCAAAAATATGACGAAGCAGATTCAGCTAGA